CCTCCTCCCAGAAGGTAACAAGGAAAACAGGTCGTGAAGAGGATGTGTAGTGTCCCAGATAATCTTACGGACCCTGCTCAAGCAACGCTTCTGTGCTATGTCCTGGAAGGGAGGGAGGGAACTGCCAATGATCTTTTTGGCCATTCTCACCACTCTCTGCACCGCTTTCCCTCAGATCCTGTATATCATGCCTGCTATCAATTTCTCTTAATGAAAGTTCCTGTTGGAAGAAACTGTTTCCAAAAGTTCTGCTTTCTTAAGATGTGGATTGAAGTGGTACCTTACTGTTCTGTTTCAGGAAAAGAGGCATTGAGACAAAGCAACAAGTTCCAACAGTCTCCTTTATTGCAACACCAACAGAACAGCTTTTAAAATGGTGCGGCCCCCTTTTATAGCCGCCCTGCACAATACCTTGCTGGCCAATCATTGCAAAGGCTGGAAACAGCCTTTCTTGTCCCAGGCAGCACAATACCTTGCTAGCCAATCATTGCAAAGGCTGGAAGCAGCCTTTCTTGTCCCGGGCATCCACATGGTCTGCTCGGGCCAATCGCTGCAGCCTGTGCCTGCCAGCCCAGGACATAACACCCCTCCCCCCTTGGCTAAAATAATAAGGCACACTTATTGTTTTAAATACTCCACACTCCATTACATTGCGTACGTTGCATCTATATATACACAACACTACAGTCTTGCTATCGCCATGCTCCCCACTCCCCTTCAGCTGCATTACTTAACCTTGACTACCAGGCCTGCCCATGAACTGACAAAGACCATACATAGTCTTGTAAGTATTTGGGAGGACCTCTGGCCTGCCCTGATCTTCTCATGGGCGGTGTGTGTGCCTGGCCTGCCAGCTCGCCTGCCCGGCTAGGCAGACCAGGACTTTGTTGCCCCAAAGACCCAGGGGACCCATCCAGCTGCTGACTGGCTGGATCTGTTAAATCCAAGCCAGGGTTCCTTGGGGGGGTAGAATTCCCCAAGTCCAGTGGTGGGGTGGAATTCCCCAAGTCCCCACTGGACTCCTCTTGGGAGCACTGTTCCTTGAGCCCTAGACCAGCAGCTGGAGTGGCCTGAATGCTGGAGGTTGGAGCTGCCTCCATGGCAAACCCCCTTTCTGTGGACTCCCTGTTTGGAGCAGGAGCTGAAGCCTGGGGAGTTGGAGAGACCATGGCCAAAATCGTAATTGTGGTCCTCCTCCCCCCCGAGATCAGAGCTAGGAGTAGAAGAGTTGCTGGGAATCCTCCAGCACAGTTGGTCAATGTGATGTCGGATCACATGACCATTGTCCAAGGCCACTTCGTATGACAGCGACCTAGAGACCTTGCATACCACTGCTGTGACCCAGATATGTCCTGGTCCATAGTTCCTTGCCCAGACCGGACTACTCACTTGTAGTCTCCTAGATGCCCGCGGCTGTGACACCTGTGAAGCCACCCGGTCTGGGTGCAATCTGTCCAGTTTCAAGATGAGGCAGCAACCCCAGTGGAGTTCAGCTGGGCTCTTTCCAGTAGCTGTGCAAGGTGTGGTGCGGTGGCACAGAAGAAAGTCCGCTAACCTGTGATGCCAGGTCCCGTGAATGATCCTCTTTAAGGCATCCTTGGTTGTGCACACCATTCGTTCAGCCTGGCCGTTGGAAGCTGGATGGAATGGTGCCAATGTGGCATGCCGGATCATGTTGGCCTGGAGGAACACCTTGAACTCAAACAACGTGAATTGGGGCCCGTTGCCGGAGACAAGGACATCGCGAAGTCCATGTGCGGCAAAGATCCCTCTCAGCACCTGGATGGTCCTAGCAGTGGTAGTGGAGGAGACAGACACGACCTCTAGCCACTTGGAATGGCTGTCCATGAGAATTAAGAAGAATTGCCCCTGAAAGGGCCCAGCGTAGTTGATATGGATCCTCGACCATGGGGTATGAGTCTCTTCCCACCTATGAACTGGGGCCTGGGGCATCTCCGGCCTTGACTGTTGACAGACAGTGCACACGTGGACCTGGGCCTTGACATCTTTGTCGAGCCCAGGCCACCAAAGATACCTGCGCGCTAACGCCTTCATCCGGACTATTCCCAGATGTCCCTCATGCAGAGACTGCAGGACTCTAGTCCTCAATGAGGTTGGGATTACTACCCGGCTACCCCATAGGACACACCCCTTGAAGCTGGAAATCTCATGCTTCCTCTGCCAGAAGCTCTGGAATTCTGAGCCTGGACATGTGTCAGGCCATCCAGACAATGCCCAAGTCAACACGCGTGTTAGCGTGTGATTGGTGGTTGTTTCTGCAGCCACATCCCTAGCACTGAGGGGAGTTTCAGGCAAGTCCTGAATAGACAGGATGCGATTGGCAGGTGCTGGATCTGCCTCTATCTGCTGTAACGGCAACCTGCTGAGACCATCTGCATGACCCATTTCTTTGCCTGGCTTGTGAACCAGTGTATGGTCATATGCAGACAGGAAGATAGACCATCTCAACATTCTTGGGGATATTATGTGTGGGGTTTGTTTGTTCGTTGTGAACAACCCCAGCAGTGGCTTATGGTCTGTAAAGACCGTGAAGTGGCGGCCATATACGAAGTCATGGAACTTCTTTATGCCAGCCACTATGGCTAAGGCTTCTCTATCTATCTGTGCATAATTGCGTTTAGCTGATGATAAGGTTCTCGAGTAGTATGCTATTGGGACTTGCGTTCCATCAGCCTTCAAGTGACTTAACACAGCCCCAATCCCATAAGGGGACGCATCCAGGCGATGCACACTGGCAAGTTCTCATTGAAGTGCGCGAGGACTGCATTTGAAGAGAGCAAGGCCTTGACCTCTTTGAAGCTCTTTTCATGTGCTTGTGTCCACTGTCACGGGGACTGTTTGTCCAAGAGCCGGTGTAATGGCTCAGCCACTGCATCCTTGTGAGGAAGGAATGAGTGGTAAAAATTTAGCAGTCCCAGAAAGGCCTGAAGTTCGCCCTTTGACTTGGGACTTGGGGCCTACTGAATTGCTTGCAGCTTGGATTCCACAGGGTGTATGCCCTGAGCATCAATGCGGAATCCTAGAAATTCCGTGGAGGTAACTCTGATCTTGCACTTGTCTTGCTTAAGCTTCAGCCCCGCTTGGCGGAAACGTAGCAAAACAGCTCTCAGCCTTTCGGCTAAATTGTCAGCTGAGTCCCCAGCGATGAGGACATCGTCAAAGTACAGGCAAACGCCAGGGATATTTCAGAGTGTTTGCTCCATTACACTCTGGAAGATGCCAGGGGCCACGTTTACCCCAAATTGCAATCTTCTTACCTTGAATGCCCCCCTGTGAGTCACTATAGTTTGGGCCTCGGCCATTTCCTCATCAACTGGCAATTGTTGATAGGCCTGAGCGAGGTCAAGCTTAGCAAAGATCTGGCCCCCCTTGAGGGAGGCTAGAATGTGACTGACCACTGGTATTGGGTATGAATGCTGCTGCAGTGCTTTGTTAAGCGTGCACTTGTAGTCCGCACAGATTCGGACTTCACCGTTGGCCTTCAGTGGTGTAACTATAGGCGTTTCCCATGGACTACTGTCCACAGGCTCTAAGATACCCTGCTGAATCAGTTTATCCAGCTCTGCATCTATTTTTCCCTTTAAGGCAAAGGGTACCCTGCGTGGCTTGATTCTAATGGGGGCTATGGCTGGGTCTAGCCTCAGAGAAATAGGAGGGCCTTTGTAGGAGCCAAGTTCTGGACTAAACACATCTGCAAACTCCTTGCAGACCCCATCCAGGCCTGTTGTTTGCACACTGTGTATTCCAGTCACCTGAATTCCCAGGGACTCAAACCAGTGAGTCCAATGAGACTCGTACAGTTTCCCCCCACCACAACTACATCCAGTAGCCCCTCAAAATTCCTATGCTGCACCTTGAGTGTGGCCTCCCCCCTCACGTTGACTCTGGAATTTTGGAAATCTGTGAGGATGAGGTTTGACAGCCTGAGTTTCACCCGTAGGCCCAGGCAGTACAATACCTTGCTGGCCAATCATTGCCTGGACCAATCGCTGCAGCCTGTGCCTGCCGGCCCAGGACATAACATTTACATTAGTGGTTCCTTACAGTTACAAAGATAAGAAATTAGATGAAAAAGTCAGTGCTTCTCAGTCTTAGTTGAGAGAAATGGTACTAACATATTTCTTTGTGTTTGAACTTTATGCAGGTTCAAATAGCAAAAAGCAGGGGTCCCCAACCCCCAGTCCATGGACTGGTACCGGGCCGAGGCATGCCAGCAACTGGTCTGCACAAACAAGCAAAACCCCATCCATGTGGTGCAAGCAGCATACAAAACCACACACCCTCAGTCCACGGAAAAACCTCTCTCCATGGAACTGGTCCCTGGGGATCTCTGGCATAAAGAATTACTGAAACCAGTCTGTTCTGTAAAGCTGAGCAACATGAGAGAGGAGATTCCCCCAAGCTCTTCCTCCTCCCCCTCTCCCTAAACTTCTCCGTATATCTTCTTGAGATGGAAAATACAAACTAGGCTATTAAATCCTAAAATATCCATGTTATTTCCCTGTCCAAAAAAGGAAAAACATCCCTCTGTACCCACAAAATCCTTTCCTTGCCAATTTGTCATTATCAGCATACCCACATCAACCTTTGTGCACCTCAACAATTTAAGGGTATTCTCTACCCATTAAAAGATTGCAGAATCCTCCCTTTTCTGCATACATTTTCAAAAATCTCTGAAATCTTCAATGGCAGTAATTTGAGGTATTTTGATTTTTTTATAGCTATTGGATCCCTTTTAGTATGACACTAATGAGACTCAAATGTGTAATTAGAAACATTTATATTAGACTCAAATATATTGATTATCAGAGGGATCTATGTGCATAACGCAGATTCAATTAATAATTTCAGTTTGTGTCTTCTTGAATTATTTACATAATATCAATGATGAAAGAGTTAAGTGTATGTGTGTGTGTGTGTGTGTGTGTGTGTGTGTATGACAGTGAGGGAGAGAGATGGTCATTTCCTGAGCTATTCTGAAACAAAATCAGCTCACTTCCTATTATAAGCACTCTTGAATGTAGCACACACTGCAGCAGGTAATTATTATTCATTTCTCATTTTTTTGCTTAAAATATATACATTCTAAGAATATGTGATAGTTCAAGTTTATTATTCAATAAAAATAGTACTATAGTTAATTACACTGTAACTACTGATAAAAAGCCACCACTGATAAATTAAACAATTGTAAGATATTTTTAAAACAGATGATACACTAATATGCAATCAGCAATGAGTTGGGGAAGAACAATTACTGTGTAATCAGAACTATTATTAAAACTTCATAAGTAGTTGATGTTATAACATAACTGACTATTATAAATAATGTTGCATTTTAGTTAAAGCAGAAAGAAATACTGTACATTAATACTATTTCTGCATCTGAGGCAGGCATCTGATAAAACAAAGTAATCTTTACAATGCTGTTCTAGGGAAAACAAAAGCTAGGAGAAGATTCATAAACTACATAAATGCTGTAAAAACAGAACATGGGGAATTATAGCTTACAATAGCATTTATTTTTTACATGCATAAAGAAACTTTCTTTGTTGTTTCTTATAGAAGGTAATTGATTGAAAGTGGCTTTTACAGACTTGCCCAGACTGTTTTCTGAAATGTAAAATATTGTATAATAGCTATTCCACCAAAATGTTTAGGTATTTAAAAATGTATTTGCTTTTTATTCCTACCTCCAAATACCCATTGGCTCTTATTTGTACTGATTTGTGCTTACCTACCCAGTCTATTCACCTGTAATGTGATTGTTATCATTGATTCTGTGTCATGTTCAGTATATTGGTTAGAATATTGGACTGGGAAGCTCATAGAGTGATTGCAACTTATTCATTCATCAGCTTAACATACTTCATAGCTAGAATCTGAGGAGAAAAGATGGGGAAGGTATTGTTTTATTGATCATTATAATAAGTAGATTAAAATCTCATAAAATAAAGACAAGCACTCATACTGTATCATATTTGAAAATGTACATGTGGGGTGATATTTATATATTTGGTTGAATTAACTGAAATGAAAGTAAGGAAAGCATGTATATTTTTATATAGTCATTTTTAGAATGCAGAGCTTCCCTATAATATTAGTTTCTTCTTTTGAGCCACCAGCAGAGAACGCTGGCTATTATTTTGTGTTTCTTGATAGGATTTGTAAGAATACTTTTGCAGGACAAGAGCAAACCATAAGATGCAATGAATATTGTGGGAATGTTATGGTTTTATAATATACAGTACTCAGTTTTCTTAATATTTTCAGAAAACCTGAATATGGTAAATTAAAAGCACAACTATAGAAAACACAGTTTCAGACTCTGTTACTAAGCTAATGTGCATAGAAAGGATCAGAAAGAAATCATCAATAGGGAGATCAAGTCTGTATTTCTGGTCCATAGAAGTTCTCTATAAAAAAAAAAAAAACAAGGATATTATATGCTTTCTTCCTGCCAGGAATATTGTGGTGCATCCCACTCCATCCCATCCATGAGTATTGAAGAAGTCTCTGGTTTTGTTCTGATTTTGTAAAGTCATGAATGTCAATTTAAGGGAATCTCATTTTCCATGTGTTCATGCTTGATACTCTAAACAGAAATTACTGATCCAATATAAAGGGTAGCTATAGCTTAGCAGAACTTCTGATGAAATGAGCAGTGCTGCTTCTATTGCACCAGAAATGGTTATTTATCAGTGTTACATAATCAACAGTATGTTCAGTAGAGAAGCACATTAGTGCCCTCTCAGAACAGTTTGAATGACTTTATTCTTACAGCAGTTTACAAAATAAAATCTGAACAAAAACATAAAAACCAATAAAGTCATATAAATTATAACTATGAATATAAACAACTATAAAAGCCATAAACTATAAATTATATCAGAATCTGATATGCAATCCACGTTGTGTTCAGCTCATTCAGATATTACATTATATCATGACCCTGTATGAGTTTTTTTTGTTCCATCCAATCACCCCTTTCATGAGGAAAGGAGTATATTTATTTGTGTACAATGTAGTGTGTGTGTGTGTGTGTGTGTGTGTGTGTGTGTGTGTGTGTGTGTGTAGAGAGAGAGAGATTAACCAACAGGAGGCAATACATGAAGTGATGGTTATGAGAAAATAAGTTACTGTGGCAAGAGTTCCATAGATACATCAGCCAAAACTGGAAGAAAGTCCCCTAGCTGTGTTCTCCATCTGCCTATTAAGCAGTAGCCATAAATCTAGAAAGATCCCAAGTCATGTACCTGCTCTTTTAGGGGAGTATCATTTTTCAAGAATTATCACCACAAATGAAAAAGAGAGATTTCTTCTGCACAGTGAGCCAACTAGGGTTGCTAGGGTTCAATTTGAGACTATTTCATCCTATTCAAATCTATATAGTCTGAGGACCTCAGTTTAAGACTTCACTGCATCTCCAGCTTGGTTCAGAATGGAGATATGTAATTGGGTACTGATGGTATCTCACTGTGAATTGATGGACAACCTCTGCTAGTGTCTTCATTTAGATGTAAACCAGGTGAAGTGATAGAATAGAACTTGGAAGAACTCCAGAAATAAGGATCCACAAGGATGATTTCTTCTTACCCACCAAGAACTGGTACCAGTCACTCAAGCAGAAGTGAAACAATTGAAACACTGCACCATCAAGCCTCAACTCTTTTAGTTAGTTGAGGAATTACCATGAGCAATGATATTAAAAATCACTGAGAGATCTAAAAGTACTAAGGGGTGCCATCCATGTCCAAACAGAGGTCATCTACCAAAGAAATTGATGCTTTTTCTGTGCCATGACCATGTCTAAATCTTATTAAAATGGGTCTAGACACTCTACTTCCTCAACAGTGCTCTGTAGTTGACAATAGACCATTATCGTTCTATTAGTATTCCATTCTGGGCATTATAATATTCATTTCAATTTATTGTAGACAATGATTTCACATACAGTATTTATTTATTTATTTATTTATGAGACTTATATACCGCTTTAAGTGCAAGCACTCTCTAAGCGGTGTACACCAGTAAGCAATGTATATACATATTTACATTGCCCCCAACAATCTGGGTCCTCATTTTACCTCATTATTCCTATTCCATGACTATTCAGGCATTACAACAATGAAGATGATAATGATGATGGCAACAACAGTGATGATAAAGATTTTCTCTCAGAAGAAGTCATTACACTGTTGCTTTGATTTGCTCTTTAGTTAAAATAATAAGTGTATGGAGATTCTCAGTCATCCAGGTCAAAGATGCCTTTTCAAACGGCAACTAGACTTTTGTTTTTTCTTGAAAATGTTTTGCTTCTCATCCAAGAAGCTTCTTCAGTTCTGACTGAATAGTGGAGGATAGACTGCGAGGAATGTAAATCCTTCCATCCTCCACCATTCAGTCAGAACTGAAGAAGCTTCTTGGATGAGAAGTGGAATGTCTTAAAGGAAAAAAAATCCAGTTGCCTTTTGAAAAAGCACCTTTGGGTCATTAAAATAGTAAGAGACCACTGAAAGTGATATATTTTTAAATGACCTTTAGTTGGGTAAGTCTTAGTTAGGAGTCACTAGCTACTCTTGGCTATAAATAACAGTCATTCTAATCCAATATTCCCGAAAGACCCTTAGATAGAAAGGTTTTCTATAAGGTATTATTTTTTAAAGTTCACTTTTTTGCCTATCCATCTATTACATAGCAGGATAAACTGCTGCTTCAGAGTCCTATCACTCTTAATATCTCCAAAGTAACTGCTTTGTTCAAATTGTCATTTTGAATATGACATAAGGAAATTATTAATCACAGTGGAGGCAATTATATTAATTACATTGACTTAATTGAATAACAAAATAAAATTTAAGTGCAAATAAGTGACTATTACTGCTTGCCTTGTTGTCAGCTTCCTCTGACCAAAATTTGGGAATGCAATGCCCAAATTTAGTGAGTCCTCATTCCTGAAGCAATTGTGCAGTCTGATATAGTACATGATTGGTTGCAAGATTTGGAGGTTACCTTCAAATGAGTGTTTCAGCAATGTGCCTTCCGAGTCTCACAACCCTTTCATGCAAATCATTTCCACCACTTCCTCGTTTCTTCTGGCTTCTGTTTCACAGTTTCAAAGTATGTTTACAGCACAAGTTTTTGAGGGTAGAATGCACACAGCTGCCACATGAACGTACGATAAAATCATGCCACACAGCAAGTTATTTTCACATGGCAAGCTGTTTGTGTGCAGTGATGCAACGTGCAGATCAGCCAAGCTTGAAACCACTAGATCTTTTTTAAAAAAGAGCTTGAAGTAAGCAGAATATACTTCATTAGGCTGGCAGAAGAGAGAAAAAGATTATTGTTGAGATTTGTTGGTAACAATATTGCCAGAGACAGAGACAGTTGTGAACTCATACATTTCAGTGAACATTTTTTTGTTTTGGAATATTTATTCTGGTTGGTTAATCACGAGAGCTGTCCTAGAATGAAATATTTTAGTTACTTTGAGGCTAGCACTATATCACACATAAATAAACATTTTACTAATACTCTGGTGGGGAATTTTTTAAAAAGGAAAAAGAAAAAATGTGTCAAGATTTTGAGTAGAGGCATAATTTGAGTGGATGAGCAAAAATAATAATAAAAAGTTCTTTAACAAATTTCTGCTTCTATTGGGTCATTTTTTAGAATGAGATGGGTAGCGTATACATTTAATTAATAGTAATGTAATAATATTGAACCAGACCAAATTTGCCTCCAGCAAATAATACTTCAGGGAAATCGTGGATAAATATTTGTAGTCTAAATTGGTAATGCCACACATGAGGTTTTTTTTAACATCACCCATGGGTGCATAATAAAAATTTGCAGAGTTATAGTAGGCAAGGTACACAGGAGGAGATACGAAAGTTCCTATCATTTTTGCATTTGTATCACCAATATTCTAGACTTTGAGTGGGGAATCTGTGGCTCTCCATGAATAATGTACGAAGCATAGGAAATGTTGATAACCATATCTAGATGGTCACAGATAACATCAACTCTGATTAAG